GTACTTTCAGTCACTGTATCCCAGTAAAGCTTTGGTTAAAAAGCTTGTTTGTCTCCCTGGATGGCTGTGTGAAGAGATTCTTGTGGATTTTTCTTTCACCGTTGTTTTTGATTTGATGAAGTTTCTGATAAAATGGGTTTCCAGTCCTCTGCTAAATTTTGCAAATATCCTGTGATCTTTCTCCACTTTGTCAACACCTTCTGCATTTGAAAAACCTCAGAACATAAAATTTGAGTAGTTTCTCAAAAGCAGTTGATACAGGGCAGCCGTTGTCATCTTGATGATGTTTTTGAAATACCCAAGAATTGCATTGGTCTTCCCAATCGTAGCTTCATGAGAAGAGTCCACAGTTAGGGAAAGCTTACCATGACATCAAGCCTTCCTTAATTCCATCTTCCCAGGGTAGTCTACCAAGAAGGAAAGTTTGTTCCTGTCGATATGATTCACAAAATTAGTGTTGCAAACAGAGATCGTTGCATACAGGCAACCAGTGGGGACCTGGTTGGTGAGGTAGTCTCTGCGTTATCTGCCCCTCCCTTCCTCTGTAATAGTTTTAGATTTCAGATAGTTACTTTTTTCCCCCCATTTTTTTCTTCTTATTTTTCAGCCTGCAGATTTTATTAGTAATTATTTTCCTTCTGGTCATTGTTCAGTAATGTAATGTTTAAGAAATAAACGCTGCTGGAATACATTAGAAACATATCTTCCTAATGACGATTTCCTGTTTATAACTGCATCTGGAGACTAATGTAGCTAACTTAACTAACACTTTCTTTGTATTGCTTCATTTCCTAAATATAATGGCATGCAAAACTCAGTCAAATGCTTTGTCTATTTTAACAAGCTGCATTTTCTGTAAAATCTATGTTGCTCATCATTAATTTAATCTCACTCGAGTGCTCTAGTTCTTGAACTTGATTGATGCCTTTTGCAAGTGCAGACATGGTAGGGTCTTTTTTTTTTTGCCCCTTTCTTTTAGTATTGGGAAAGAATTATCTTTTGGAATGACCTCAGTTTTGTAAGACTTCTTGTCTACTTGGAGCAAGCTTTGGCCAGCTGTTCTAAAACTTGTGCAAGTTATTCACATCTACATATTTTAAAAGGTCTTCATGTTGTAGCTGTTGTTCAGGACACTGATGAGGTGATTACAGTTGGAAAAGCAAGCAGTTCATCATCGTTCTCAACATACACTATGGGTATAACTCAGTAAAATCAAAGATGGTTTATGCCTCCTTTTTATTACTGCACAGAAGCACTTGTGTGCATCTTGTTTATAAAGGGACATTTCAAAAAAGCCAGGGTTTGCTCCAGTTCAAGGCTATTCCAAATCAAGGTGTGCTCCAGGATTATCTATTGCATAGGTATGGTTTTGTGTACTGTAAAGTACATGGGAAGTTGAGATGCCCAAACTGTCCAGGTGATTGTTCTTGTGGTCACTCCATTTAACTTGTAGCAAAGTGAGCCAAGCACCTCAAAATTTTATCCAATGAGAGGATAAAATCAAATTAGAAATCTGAAAGGAAAGCTGATGGAGTGGCGGTGTTGAATAAGTGTATGAAAATTATCTGAAAGACAATTTAAATTTTCTGTTTATCTTGGAAAAAATCTGTGTTAATAAAACATACATTGTTCTATCATTTTCCTGTTTTTTTTTAAAGCAGAAACTTAAGAATCAAACAGGTTAATCTGGTAGTATGACATTTAAATCAGATCTTTAAATCAGAGGGTTTTAAGTAGTATTTTTTATTATTTTTTTCTGTAGCATATAATTATTATTTTTTTTAGTGACCCACCTTAATTAAAATAAAGGAATGGGGTTGGTCATTAAACTGTATTAAAAGTATGCTCAAAATAGTGACAAATAGTCTTGAAGATAAAAAGTAGGACAGGAAAAGGATCTGCGTTTTGAAAGAGCTATGTACATGATACAGGAGAGAGAGGCAGAACTAGAAGCTATGTTGGATTTGCTTGACTTTTGACTAGTTGATTTGCACTCGTAAATCATCATGTACAAACTTACATAAAATGTAAAAAATTGTAAAACGTAATTGTGCTTTGTTTTTCAATATATGGACATACACGTCTTGAAATGTAACTAACGTCATTTTTAACCACAAGTTCATGGTGTAACTTGACAGCTGACAGTTCCAGCTTGTTTTGGAAAAAGAAAGTGCACAATTTCATTCACAATTATTTATTTGCAATCCCTTTCAAAATGGAAGATCAAATGGAATGTTTTCATTATATTTTGCTGTATTACTTCTGAAAAGGAAAAAACGCTGTGCAACCTCATAAAAATGCTTTGTGATGTGTGTGGTGGAGGTGCCTTAAAACTACGGCAGTGTCAGAATCGGTTTGCTAAATTTCAATCTGGAGATTTTAATGTTAAAGATGCACCACGCTCAGGAAGGCAAATCAAAGTTATAATGTCAAAATAAAAGCACTGATTGAATCCAGTTGGTGTTTAACAACACAAGAGATTGCTGATAATCTTAACATATTGAAATCAAACATTCAAAACCACTTAAAACAACTTGGATACATTAGGAAGCTCAATATTTGGGTACCACCTAACCTCAAAGAAATTAATCTCACTAAACATGTTGACATTTCCAGCTCTCTCTTGAAACATGAGGAAAACGACTCGTTTTTGAAACGCATGTTAACGAACGATAAAAATTGGAACTTTTACAATGATGAATGAAAAAGATTGTGGAGCAAGCGTGATGAACCAGCTCAAAGCACTTCAAAAGCAGATATTCACTAAAGAAGGTGATGCTGTCAGTCTGGGGGGATTTCAAAGGCATTGTGTATTTTGCATTGCTTCCAAGGAACCAGACCATCAATTTGGACACATACTGTTGTCAACTGCATAAATTAAATTATGCTTCCAAACAGAGGTGTCCAGAATTGGTGAATCGCAAAGGCGTTGTGTTTCTCCATGATAACGTTAGACCACAGACCAGTTTGGTCAGTCATTAAACCTTGTTGCAGCTTGGCTGGGATGTGTTACCACATCCACTGTACACAGACCTGGCACCATCAGATTGCTGCTTGTTTTGTTCTTTACAAAACACCTTGAATGGTAAAACCTTCACTGCTTGTAAGGCTATCAAATCGTTCTTGGAACTTTTTCTTGACAAACAAATAAGAACTTTTTTGAGTGCGGAATCATGAAGTTGCCTGAAAGATGGCAAAAGGTAATTGAACAAAATGGACCCTATATTGTTTAGTAAAGTTTTTGTTTCCCTTGAAAAATTTGACTTTCATTTACAAAGAAAAAATATGCAATTATGTTTTGGTCAACCCAGTATTTCCCAATAACTCTAGCAATCCCAGCTTTTGAAACATAAAATGGGTATTTAGGTGTAAGAGTTTGAGAGTGGTGGGGAGGAGATTTGGGTAGGCTTTTTCGTGGTTGGCTGTTATTTATAATTTTTAAACTAACTTGTGAAGTGTGATAATTATCATCTAATGTGATGTGTTAGTCCATAATTCACTGTCCGGATAGGTTATGTTCCTACATTAAGTTGGTAGGATTATTTATAGATTAATGTTTATTTACTAAAATTCTCAATACATGTGCTTTCAAACTGAGGAATAAAATTGGGAGGAAGGGAAAAAGAGGTAATCATGTTCTTTAGGAACGGAGCTGCCTACAGGCAAAATGAAAAGAAACAGTTGGAGAGGGTTACACTGTGTAAACCAGTTGAGTTGGAAGTATTTCCCAGGTACTACTTGGCATAGAAATAGGGGCAGAGTAAAAACCCCAACCCCTGATGATCACTAGGGTTTGGAGCAGAGTGGGGAGAAAGGTATCAGTTGGCTGCAACCAACTACTTCACAGTCACAAGGTAATTCGGGCTTCTATCCTCTGGGTCTAACGCTGCTTAAGATGGGTTAGCACCCTTCTTGTCATCCTAGACTCTTTATGTTGCTAAAAGTCACAGTCCTCACTGACTTTTTATAGAGTTTATTTGTTCTGATGGTAAATTATGTGCTCAATTATACTTGAGTAGGAGCAAGTTTGAGGACAATGTGTTCAAACGTATAGCTGTGAAAGAGAGACTCCAACTCCTCTGGCCTTCAGTGAGTCATTGTCCTTATTTTTGCGTTGGAAAATACCATTCCAGGCTGTCAAAGACTTGAGAGGAAAAAGGCAGAGCAAAATATAGAGCAGTTCCATATCTTTGCTAAGGAAGTTATCAAATTCATGCCACTTCTTAACTGCCATTCAGTAGCAATTTAGATGCTCTGCTTATTTTATATAAAGTGTTCATGAGAGTCCAATCTACAAGTCCTATCTAGCAGCTAGAAAAGAAGGTATAAAAGGATGAAAAATGTATTGAATAGGGGCACATGACCTGACTCAGATAAAATGTTGTCTACCCATCATCTAGTGAACTCTTAGCAAATAAATCCTGAGAACATGATAGAAGAGGTCGAGTATTTCTTAGGTGTGGATAGCTGTAGTGCTTTCACATTGAGCTTGTTTAAAAGAACTGATTTCATTCAAGGAATGTATCAGAGGTACCTGCAGTGTGTGTGTCCAGGGCTGAGTAGAAATAGTGGGATGTGGAATTTGTTCATATTTCAACTGTTCTCCTAGAAATCTCATGCAAAAGCTTGAAATGCAGTACATGAACAGCAAATAAATGTTTCAAGAGAACTAGCTAAGTTATTTTAAAATACTTCTTCCTGCCTTACAGGAATAATCTATGGTGTGCAATCAGAAATTCTGTTATATGCTAGGTGTTCCTGCTCCGGCAGGGGGATTGGAAGGGACCTCAAAAGATCATCTAGTCCAATCCCCCTGCCTAACGTTCTGTGATTCTGTGATTCTGTGATTTAGGAGTGGTTGGCATTGTTTGTAATGGCTTTTTGAAGTAGGAAGGCAGCAACTTCAGTTGGAAAGAGTTGAGAGGAAATGAGAAGTAATAGAAAAGAAAGCAACTGAGCTTGGTATTGATGCAATTATTGTTGTACTTTTCATCTTCTAGTTTGCAAGACATATCAAGAAATCTGAAGGCCAGAAGACCCCCAAAGTTGAATTACAAATCTCGATCTATGGTGTAAAAATTCTAGATCCAAAAACAAAGGTAAGAGGCTTATGTATTTGTGGTCCTAAACTAGTGTTTAAGTATTGTTTTAACTGTTTTTATTGCTTTATATTTTAAAGAAGTATTACAATGAAGGCCATTCTGTTGATGGAAATTTTCTCTAAAATGCCATTTCTTGTTATAAAACATGGGTAATGTCTCCCAAGGAAGGTACATGATACTGCAAAATAGAGACTGTAGCTAATGTGGGATTTAATTTTTTTAATCCTTTTGCACCAGAACTTTTAAACTCTGAGGAAAATAAAAAAACTTTAGTAAATAAATGTTAACACCACATATAAGGACCTTTCCAAATGGTCATCATTTTGTAGGTGCCCACATGTAGGTGTTTGCAGGTGAATGAGAAGACAATTTGTTTGTAGTGACTCATTCTTCATACTTACTACACCTCTTTTGCCTAACCTGTTCAGTTTTTAGAGTAGATACGGTTGTTATTGTATCCCCCCTCCCTGGAATGCTTATGTTTCTCAAGTGCTCCCCATTTCTCTGTAAACTTCATGTAGCAGCCATCGGCATTATTGTAGGCATTTTTATTTTTCACAGCGTGACAGTTCCTGTGTTTCAGCAGTTTTGCCCAAGGAGTCATCCCGTGGATGGGTTTTCTGTTCCTTTGTTTGCTCTGGTATTTTGGAAGGCGTTACATAGTAGGCAAAACATCCTCCTCATGGACTTCAGGGAGGGATAATGACATAGCTATAATCAAGCTAAAAAGTATTTATCCAATAGTCAGCAGTTCTTAACATCTGAGTGCGCTTCAATCTTATATGTATGTTGAATGTTGGATTTGAGTGAGCTGTTTGTTACTGCTTCTTAACTCTGCAGTAATTGCTACCATGCAGACAGTGATACTGCCTTTTGTGAAAAGGTAGCTTTAAAGGCCACATCTGCTTGCAACCCATTTTCATTTCAGATTATTCAGAACCACAATTCAACAGTTGATAAGTAGAGGCGACAAGAAATATCCGTATCAACTTTAATTGCAGTAGTTGCATCTTCCTTACATCATAGGGCACAAAGCTATACTAAACCGCATACCCTGGCCAAAGCTGTTTTAAAAAAAGAGTTTTGAATGCCAACATATGTTAATCTTCCTAACTCTTCCTGAGATTAACAGAAAGCCATGGGACAGACGTTCCTGCGGCAATAGGAACAGTTGAATCTTTTAGCAATCTTTATATTACAACTCAACTGGTAATCAGCTATGAGTAGTTTTTTTATCTCCTCCACTTCATTTCTTAAATCTACATGTAAATGTAAGTTTGAATCAAGTTTTCCTTCTTTTTGCAAAATTCACAGTTGCTTTAAGAAATTACCTAAATTCCTCGTTGTCAGTGCTGATTAAAATGATTTTTCCTGCGTGTTCTTAAAGCAAAACACCTCATAATATTGTTACAGAGGAATATGGATCTGTATTGATGTGATGACTACTACTTGTAGTGGGAACAGGAGGTCTGCTCATGTATCAGGACTTGATTCTATACTTGGTGCTCAAAAAAGGATTATGGAAAAGTGGTTCTGTCCTTAAATAATATAAAGTAGCTATATGGATCTGTAAACCAAAAAGAGCCAGAACAACTGTGTGGTATTAAATCTGGGGACGCAGGAGATATACGGTACACGGAAGAACAGTTGTAGTGACTGAGAAAGGGATCCCAGCTGAGACTGGAGGAAAAGATGGCCTGTATGGTACATTTTTGTGGATAAGTGGTAGTGTGTGAAGAGAACGTGCTCTTGTTTATGAGCTTATAGCAATCTGGAAACCCTGGTGCTGCACAGAAACTTTCTTTTTTTTAATAAATGGTAGTTCACATCTAAACTGCATATTTTCCTTTGAAGCGAATACTGCTTTCCCATGTAATAAGCCAAATAAAATAAAATACCAAGAAGAGACTTGTTGAAGAAAAACAACAAAAAAAATAGTTGAGATAGTTGTTTCAGTCTTGTCAAGCTCTCGGCTGAGAAGCATTGCCACTGCAACTTTTTTAATACCTGGAACGTGCTTTGTAATGGAAAGTGATATATAGTGTTGAAGATCTGCACATAATAATGTTTAAAAGCTGTTTAAGTTGCCCCTTAAGTAAGCAGTTATTTAGATATCCAAGTTATTTCTCTGTGCCCCTGTGTTTGGATAACAAAATAATTTCTGTTTTCTGTATTTAAGATAGAAAGGTAAGGACTTATTTCAGTACAACCATTTTAACAAACCCTGGGAGATGTTGAAATCTGAAGATCATGTGCACCTGGAAAAAGAACAGAGTGTTTTACATCATCAGTCCCTAAATAAATTGCAGCGGGATGCAAAGCAACAGTAAACCCAATTATCTGGAACAGAAATTAGTGTCCAAATAAACACTTCCAGATAAATGCTGTCCAAATAAAAACTTCCTGCTTACATTCAGTAAAAATTGGAACATTTGTTAGGAGATGGGTTTGCTAACTTCTGTTAAAGTAATACCTTAGGTCCGTTTTTGGTCACTCTCGTGGAGAATAAGAGACATTCACATATGTTATTGCAACTCACCTGCTCTCATGTACATGGGAAAACCCAGAGATTTCCTTTGTGCATCTTTATCCTAAGCAAGTGTAGTCATTTCTTGAAAATAATCTTTCTTTTTCTTTGCAGGAAGTCCAGCACAACTGTCAGCTCCATAGGATATCATTTTGCGCTGATGATAAAACTGACAAGAGAATATTTACTTTCATATGCAAAGACTCAGAATCAAATAAGCATCTGTGCTATGTATTTGACAGTGAAAAGTGTGTAAGTATGCAAGGGGCTTTAAAAGAATTTGAGTGACTGTTGCAGACTTTGATTGATCTGCTTTGAAATAAACCAGGGATGGTTAATAAAGACAGATAGCCTGCCTTTAATTGGGGTCACTTTGATATAATCTTCCATGCCAGTAATACGTTGTAACTTGGATGCATTAATTTGAAGGAGAGCCTTTTTTCTTCACTGATCTAAGGTGGTTTTATGGGACAATTCTTGTTGCTATCCAGCAGCATCTGCCAAACTTACAGAGAACAGACTGCATCCCACTATGCTTAAAATGTTTGCACAGCTGTTTTGCAGAGATTACAGCAACCCTGTGATTGAGATACCATCCTCACAGGTTCTTCTGCTGATGTGCTTGCCTCAGATTGCAGAATTTTCTTTTTTTTTCTTCTTTTTTTTTTTATTTTTACAGCAAGGTTCCCCCTTCTCTGCTCACCCCCCCCATCTCAAGTTTTTTAATGCCATGATGCACTACCAGAGAATTCACTGGACCAACCGCTGACATTCTCTCACGTCTGAGACAAAACAGGGCAACTGTTCAAAAATGTGGAATAGTAGAAAAAATAATACTTTAGGACGGGAAATGAAGAAAATGGTGTCTGGCTGAAACAGGGTCATGTGTTTACCCTGGCAGAAAGGAATTAACAAATAAAAACACTGGAATCCACACCAAAAATGGTTTGGTGTTTTTATAATCTGGAGCCTCTCTTTTTGTGTTATACTGAAGTAGCTGAGATATCACACAAAGGAAAACACTAAGGAAACAATATTTCTTTTCAGAGAAAGATCATATTCGCTTCTATTTGTGTGCCATTATGTTTCACTCTTTCTTCGTGAGTACTCTCAGATTTCAAAGGATCCCACCGTAATGGTAGTTCTCATTTCAGCCAACCTTCATCCTTCCCAGAAGACAGGACTGCAGAATCTCTGTGTCCATTACACTTCTTGTTTGCTAACGTGAAGTTATTCTCTAAAGCAATCCTAGCTCAGCTTTTTTTTTTTTTCTAATTCAGTCTAATTTTGTTAAAATAATTTGATGTGACTTTTTGTTTTGGATTTTTTGTTTGTTTTTGGTTTTTTGTTTGGTTTTTTTTGTTTTTAGTTTTAATAGAGGTGGCCATATGGATTTTTCACAGTAAAAAGATAGGTTAATTCCCCATTCCTGTAGAACTTCACACACCTGTACTCAGTGACTTTACTGTTGCACTGGTGGATAGACCTCAGGGAGCATCATGTTCTGTACCATTTTTGTGCATCCAGCCCTTCATGTTCTTACAGACAGTAAAGGAAAAATGTTCTTCGCATTGAGCAGAATGCTGTACTTTAATGAGAAACAACAAATTTCAGGTTCTCAGTTCAATAAAGGAGGGAAAATTCTAGTTTACCTTTAGCCAGATTAATGTTTTCTCAGATTTTTTTTGTTACCCTGCCAAAGTGTTAAAAAAATTTAGAAGTTGTTACTTGCTGTGTTTACACTCTCTGCTGAAGTTCTGGCAAATGGCATATCCACATGTTCGCTTTTTATTGGTGCCTCTTACAAGTCAGCATCTTTTTCTGAAACCTTAGTGTGCTTAATCAACTTCTTGTATGCTGATTTTTACCCCTGTTATTTTTAAAGTAGATCTTCTGCACCAACTGTGCATACACATCATAACACGTAATTTGAATCAGCATAGAGCTGCTATATTATAGTTTGCACAAACAAATACAAATTCTGGTTGGATACACAGATCAATACACGTGTTTACAATATGCTGACTGAGATTTTTTGGGACTTGTAAAAATAAGTACTGAAATCCAAATTTAAAAGCAATAGGGATCAAAACATCCATTAACATTAAAACATCAATCCATTAAAACTAAAACAATTTATTTAATGATTGAAAAGCCTGTATTTGCTTCAGAAATCATCAGAAAAAGACATACTGCAGCATGCTATCGGAATTTACAGAAATTAGATGCATAATTTATACTAAAAAATAGCTAATTTAGTTTTGCCTGTTCAGCCTCCCTTCTTTATCTGAAATATTTTTAAGTTGCTTTCATAGCATTTTCTGTCAAGGTATTTTGCTGAAAAGTGTTTGCTATGTTCTTTTGTTTTGTTGACTTCATGATGGATGAAGCAAAACCTTTGAACATGATAGGTAGTGTCAGGTATTTTGTGGTCATCTGAACGTAAAATATTCTTAATATACTGACTTCAATCTTATCTTTTCTGTGAAGGCGGAAGAGATAACTTTAACAATTGGTCAAGCATTTGACTTAGCTTACAGGAAATTTCTGGAATCTGGAGGAAAAGACATTGAAACAAGGAAACAAATAGCAGGTTTACAGAAAAGAGTAAGTTCTGAACTTTTTAAAGAGATAAAGTAACATGCCACTGTATTTGTGTTATCTGCTTTCTATGACAGCATAATTTCCAGCATTATTCTCAGATTGCTAAGAATTGCAACAGACATTAAATAAAGAAAACTGAAAAACAACATGATAACTGTACAGTATTTTATGTTTTGCCATATTGCAAGGTCATTAAAGACAAAAGGGAGGTTGAAATATGGAAGTTACAGACATGTAATGTTTTTTTGTAATCAGATAACTAGTTAAACATTGCTTCTCAATCACCAGAGCTCAGGTAAAACCTGCTCTTAATGGACGCTGTTGTTGAAATGAATGAATATCCCAATAGCTGTTGTAATAACTACTTACTTTGTAGATTCAAGAATTAGAAACTGAAAACACAGAACTGAAAAATAAAGTTCAAGATTTAGAAAACCAGTTAAGAATAACACAAGTACATGCATCTCCAGTAAGTACATGAATGTAACTCATATCTGAAGTTACTCTAAATTTGTATTAACTGTGTTATGATCATTATTACCATCCATGCTGTTTCCAGTGATTGTGATTAACACACAACGATCATGTGAGGTGTCTGTTGAAATGCAGTATTGAAGTAACGGTAAGATTGTGAGAAGCCAGCAAAAGGGCAAGTTGCAATCTCTCAAACTGTGGTTCTTCCATCCCTTTGTCATACCTATTTGTTTCTGCCTGAAGACAGTAAATACTCATTCTAGCCGACATCCAAAAGCTCTGTTCTGCACTTCAAGGGGCTGGCTCACAAATGCTGCTTGGGATTTTTCTAAGCAAATTGTCACACTTGATGATACCTCTATCTTCTTTTACTAAATGAGCAACAAATATGTATGAACAAAGGAAGTTACGAACAATTCATAAGACAATTGCCTGTTATAGTTTGCAGATAATTTTGTGCACTTTAAAGCGAAATCAACTATCATCTCTTGATGGCTTTGCAGTCTCAACTCCTATTTGAAGAAAGTAGAAGTGGTGCAATGAATATTTTCCTCTCTTTCTACATAATTGATGAAACAGATCACTTTAGTTTAAAAAAAATAGAGGTTTTTTTTGCTGAATTTAAATTTAAACTTTTGAATACTGTATTTTTAAAAATGTCTCTCCTACTGCTGCTCTATGTCTTCAAAATTAGAGAAGGAAAACTGCAGTTCTATCTTGAGATCATTTTGTCAGAGCAAGGTTTTCAAACCTGCTGATAGTATTTTGTTAAATACTGAAAAAAAGCTTACATAAATGAAGCAGAGTATCCAACATGGAGAATAATACTTCATGTGAGTCACTTCTTAAGTGTTTTCAGTTCGATGGGGGAAAACTTGCTTCCCTGCAGATGTTCTTTGTGTTGCATGCTATGAGCATAACATAATAATCCTTGTTGTTTAAAGCTGATTAATTAAACTATAAATTTTAGGTTTTCTCACAGCTCTCATATCCATGCTGTTGAACTATAAAGAGAGGCCAGTGCCATACAAGAGCTTTCTGAAGCTTTCTAAGACATAATAAGTAATTTTATGTATTTATATTTAGTTAATTTGTTACAGCTATAGCTCCTTATCTCTCAGTCCAGTTTGATGTTACTGAGTCCTGAGGACTAGGGAAGGATTGTTTAATGATCCATGAAAAGTTTAAGCCCTGATACTTGATACCTAATACGATGATAGTACATGTGCCATTATCTGGCATCCTGGTAATTTGTAAAGAAATGTTCGGTTTCAGGAGCCAACTACTGATGGTGATAAAGTTGCTTCTGTTTATGCTTAAATAGTACCTTGGATTTTCGTGTCTCATGCTTTCCAGTTTGTATTTGGTTGTTTGCATGCTGTTTGTGCTTACTTGACATTTGCTGGTTGTGCTGAAGTTGTTTTCCTGTCCTATAGACTATTTCCTGTACTCTTCCTTTAGTGATTAATGCACAGTCACAGAAACAATTGGTAATCAGCAGTTAGTTTAACACTTCTGAAGTCAACACTGGCAACTTGATTAAACAAGTACATACTTAAAGAAGCAGAAGATGTTGCAAGGTCCTCTGATTACAGTCCACAGAACTCGAGAAATACAAAGATTGAAATCACGTTGTGTGTTGTATCCTCTTCTTCAATCCACAGCCCTACGGAAGGGGGGCCGCAAGCCACGCGGTGTAAGCAGGCATCATTTCAGGCTGACAGTGGGTGTGTACTTTCCTTCCTCACAAGAGAAGACTTAGGGTTTTTGGTGTTTATTACACCTGTAGTGTGAAGCAGTGTTGTTACAGAATCATAGAATCATTTGATTAGAAAAGACCTCTAAGATCATCAAGTCCAACCATAACCTGTCCACCACTAAACCATGTCTCTAAGCACCCCATCTACCTGTCTTTTAAATACCTCCAGGGTGGGCAGCCCATTCCAATGACTGATCACCCTTTCAGGGTTAATATGCATGTAGTTTTAAACATTTGCCTTATTGTACATTTGAAAAGAATTAGTCTTAGCATCCTTCAGTTCTAAGTAGATACATCCAGATTGTTATTCAAAATAAACTTTTCTAGCTTCCTGTTGTCATTTAAAATAATTTGCTAACTAACTATGAAGACATACATAAAGCCATTTGCTGAAATTCATACTCAGAATCAAGACTAATCAAGACTTAAAATTCAGATCCTCCTTTACTTCCAAAATGTTCTAAAAAATATTTTGTCTATAGTTTATCAGAGATGGTACTTTATATATGTTACTCTCAAGAACAAATTAGACATACCATCACAATGTGTACAAGGAATATTACACATAGTGACTTATCCAAAATCCATCAGTGGTCTTACTAAGAGAAGAAAATTCCAGCAGTGAATTGTAAGCTGAAGCTTCGTTTTAAGCACAGAATTTAAAATATTTTCAATGATTCGTAATTTCACATATAAGAGTATATTTTTTCCAGCTGAAACATCTGTTACTAATTGTCTTAATTGAATTCTTTTTTAAGCGATAATAATGGATTGGAGTATTAGGGTATTTATTGTGAGCCCTCAGTTTCTCTATTAAAAAAATTAGCTCGCATATGGAAAATGAAAATAGTAATAATTAGAGATTACTTTTCTCTTTCCAGTTCATAAGTAGTGCACGTTATAGGCTTGTTTGGGAAATACAAAGGGAAATCTAATCTAAAACTGCTATCCTGATTCTTCTTGCTTGTATTGCAGATATTTTGCAGGCCATGTAAGGGTTTATTTCAGGACTTACTTTAAAATACTGTCAGACTGAAATGGGTGCAAACTATATGCATGAATAAAGTAATTGTGTACCCTTTACATTTTTGCAGTGTGTTACTGGGTGCAAAGCATTGGCAGCAGTAGGCTGCTTTTAAGGGATGCATTTGCTCTCAGAATTATCTTGTTGCTTGGTTATTAGTATCACTATGGACGTTTTTCTGTGGCTGTTCTAAATCTAGTCATATACCTAAATCTGCATCAATCTAATTTGGTTGCTTTTTCTATCAGTTCATAAACTGTATGGGAAAAATCTCTTCTTGTATAGGTTCAGAAAGAAATGTTATTAAAAGAAATGAGATCATAGTTGGAAATGAAAATAAGAAAACTAGGTTGTATAATCAAATCCTTTCGCCTAAAATGTATTATGAAAGTTGAACATCTGATTATCAATCTTCTGCATACTTTTCCTCTCAGGGTATTGTAACTATTTAGATTTAAGTTTGTTCAGCATATTCAGTAAATAATAAACTGATTAGCGATCATCTTTTTTTACTTTTGGATTGATGTCTTTAGTTACGCTAGTCTTGCTAAAACTTTAAACAGTTGGTCTTTAAAATGTCTGTATTTGCCAGTGCAGAAGTGTTACACAATAGAGACCGTCACTTCTTAAACTTCCTGCATGGATCTGTCGAAGACACACTATACCAGACTAGGAGTTTCCTTACAGTAGTTTGCCTTATACCTGCACTTACTGGTGCCATGGGAAATGTTGCCATGGGATGTTTCCTTTGTCTCTCACTCCCTTGCATGTACAGCTAAAGTTTCCATCACTCTTCTATCTGTGCTGTTTACTTTTCATCTGTGTTAGTGGTTTTGGAATACATTAGTCACTGGTCTTTTTTGCATTTGGTCTTGATTATATGAGGACAATCTGATTTTCATTTTGTTGTTTTCTTATGATGCCGTTGCTCAAGTTTGTATCACAATAAGACTTTGGATGCTCCTCTAGGTATAAATCCAACCAATGGAGATCAGTGCAACCCTGGGAGCACAGTTTCTCATGATGTCTTTGTTGCTGTTGCTTTGAGCAGCCTGGGTTAGCACCCTCAGTTTCTCTAGTAGACTGAGCAGTATACTGTAGTAGGCCACTAAAGAACCACTGTTAAGAGAGATTTTTTAATCTGTCTGGGGCTTGACTGAGGTTTCTCAGGCATACCTTGAAGGTTTTCTCTTTAAGCAACATGTTTAAGGCAGAGAAGGAAATTGTGACAACTGTGTGACTCTGAAGTTAGATGGAAGAAAACACTGATGTTCAGGAAAAGAGCTTAAAGTGAGGGAAGCAGAATTCAAAGGCAGCAGGAAAAGGTATGGGGAGATGTTTGGAAGGGGGAGAAACAGCCCCAGAAGGAACGGTGTTCTTCCATTCTCCATAAGTCTTGTCAAAGAAGTAGAATGTAATGTATTGTTACCCTTGAAGTGTTGCAAAAAACCTCCTGTTTTTAAATGGAGTGTTAAAGGTACTAATTGATTAGACCTTTTTTAAAAGTTCTTTAATTGTGACTTGGAAGCATATGCCACCTGCACGTATTACCCTTATTAACAAGCTTTAACACTCATGAGAAAACCCCAAGATAGACGTTGGAACTGTACGCGTATTTAAGATTTGGAATATGTTTAGGCATAGCACTTGATTAATTCATGTTTTCGTTAAGACTGCCAAGTGGGAAAAGGCACATGCTTTTTCTTTGCCTACCTTCTGCTCTTTCAATTTTTATAAAGCTCTGTACTCAGTTCAATGAGCACTTCTTCATGAGTGTTTAAAATTCTATTATGTTTGTGATGTTAAAATAAACCCTGAGGTTGCCTATGTCAGATTTCATGTTACTGGAAAAGTACTAAGTAAACCAATGATGTAGGAGTTGATTAATGAAAGTGCTAATATTTACATAGTATTTTATGAATTAATAAGGATTAATAAGGAGTATTAATAGTAGTCCCAAATCTCAAGTAGCTTGTAATCAGTTGTTTTGTAACTAACTGAATAATTTGCTATTCAAGGTCACTCAGTATTCGCTGCAGTTACCCACTGTGGCTGTTCTGTATATTACTCATTTGAATGTTCTAAGGAAGAAAAAAAATTTCTAATACATTAATACACTTACATGATTCCTGTGGAGGTATGACACAAAGACTGCAAACAGTGGGCTAGCAGGAACTGTATGAAGTTCAACAAGGACAAATGTAAGGTCTTG